GCAAACAATTATAACATTCACAGTATTCTTTAACCTTTTGAAATAAAAAGTCTTGTCTATTCACACTAGAGATTCACTTAGAGATTCACCCAATATATATTAAAAAATCTCAATTTCATTTTTTTTCTATTTAGATGTCTCATTATATGCAAGTTTGGTCATGTGCAAGGTCCCTGCACATTCATACAAAATACACACAGAATCCCATTTGATGAACACCAAAGCACAGAAGTGCTACCACTGTCTCCTAAAGAAAAGGATATGCTGTACCTGCTATCACAGGTCTTCACACATTTCCACCAGTCATAGAGAAAGTAAATAAATCCTTCACTATAGCTTAATTTACAAGGAAAACATTTCAAACTAAAAGTTTCAGTGTTTGAGTGAAATTAAAACAAAACGATGCTCCTTTCTTGATGGCTCTAAATCAGTCCATTATCCACAACTTTTGTGATCAACTCCCTGACTGACAACTGATTTCCACAAGAACCAGCAATACAAGAGATTCATGCACATTGTCAAGGCACCTCATGCAAAATTGCACCGAACAGCATTTGTAATCCCTAATCTCCATCATTACTACTGACCTCCGTGCAAACCTCACAACTGGCTACAGACATCCAGCATTCAACACCACATATGAAACCTAATCTTTCAGAGACGGACAGCTGCATGTGGCAAGAGCTGAACAGTTATTTTTTGTAACTGGGTGCTGTTGAACAGCAGGATGTGTCAATTATCAGGAACAACTAACACTTAAATTTTAAAATTCAAAATGATAAAGTCACCTAAACATGTAAGTTTGAATTCTGAGTGAACACATCTCTTCTGTAAATTAAGAAAAATACAGATTTCTTTTTAAAAATTGACCTGCATTTGACATTTAGTTGCAATAAAAAAAACTCATGATGAAATCAGGTAATATTTCCATCCATGCAAGTCTTTCTTTTTCCTCAAAAAAAATCTTAAAAGCTAACTATTACAATGCATTGTTGTAATAAAAAGCTCTTAGAATGCATCACATCTATTGTAAATATAAAGCTGAGCTAAGATGTTCCTACAAGTTACTGGTATACGAACAATCAGCATTGTACAAAGAACACTGGACAAACAGACTGATGGATGGTTTAAGGCTAAATTCAAAGTTAGTGAAACGGCAAACTGGTGAACAGTGGTTTACTTGAAGAATGTGCAGCACTCCCCTAATACTAAGATGAGGTTGCATTTGTTACATTCATTTTTGAACAAAACGGGCACAAATCTTGACCCTGCAGGGAGATTACCCACCAACTGTTACTTCTATCTTCAAAAGTCAGTTGTTCCTTTTGAGCTTCTATTTCACAGCATAAAACAAAACTAATTGGAAAACCTCTTGTGCTGTAATTTACACTCTTATTACGGAAGATCTCGCTATGTTCAGAACAATGTTTGGAAGAATTATTCAATTTGCCATTTCTACTTACAGACTTATTTCAGGAGAAAATTGACATTTGTTGCTCTTTTTGCACTCAAATGTTTGTGATGCCTTCTAAAATGCCAAATAAATGCTTCTGTTCCAGCTCTTTGATAATCTATTTTATTAAACCTTAATTCATGTTAAATATTTTTGTTAAAATGTATTTGTTGCCAAATTGGTTACACTGTTGTGTTATTTAATCACTACCTTCATTTTTCCAATTTAAATGCATGATATATGAGATTGGGGTAAAAGAATTTATAACATTTAGAAAAATAGAAGTTTTTCAGAGCATTGCAGCAGAGCAATTTCCTTCTCAAAAGGTAAAAAAAAGAGAAATTGGAACTATTTTGCATCCGAAAAGTTCAGGAAAACCTCACATGCAGCAAAAATAGTAATGCTAAATATCATCACCTAGTTTTAATGTGGAATAAATGGGGACTAGAGTGGGAACTATTGAGTGCTATTCAGTCTTGACTGTATCTATATGCTCCACCCACCAAAACATACATCAATCATAGAGAAAAATAATACTCTGTATGAACACAGTGTTAGAGACACTGAATACCACTGATTCAAAATAGCATTTGCCTTGGTGAAGGGACACAAATACAATGCTAGCTGCTCTCCAGGCTACGTATTTGTCAAAACTTTACCTTTTGTGATTCAACACTCATTTTACCAAGTCCCTTTTTGGGAATTTCAGGCTATACTTCAATAAAATTGTTTGTTATAGATCAAGCAATATAACCACTGCTTTCCAGGCTGAGTCCCTGGTTAAATGCTGAAGAAGGTAAAGCTCAATGACTCTAAAATTCATCATCAAATTGCTACGTTTCTGTATATCCGTCATGAAGAAGCTTTCAGTGTAGCCAGTCAGAGTAAATAGTTTGTTTTTGCTCTGGGTTATAAATCATTGATAATTTATGAGTGAATATTTTAAAGCACTGACTTTATTCCGCCCAATGGCTGTAGTTACCCATTCAAGAAGGCATGCAGTTGATTCACGAACACATCACTGCCTCAATTCTGAAAGCTATCACAAACCATCTGTAACTAGATTTTAAAGAAGGTACCATGAGTGAAGATGTTGAGAAGAAAATATAAAAGGTTCTTTCAACATCACTGTCTCACTGAAGATTCAGTCTACGTTTCACGTGCATCTGCTCTCAGATAAATCTTACACTTGTTAAAATCATTGCTGCTTGCACAATGAGATGTTGGTTACAGTACAGTTATTTACTGAGTCACAGGCTTGTCCCTAATCACCAATAATTAAATCCATATTGTCATACCTATACCTGTAAAAATGATTGAAAATTATCAGAGGGTTTGATATATTTTTAAATAATCAAGTGAGGCTTTATTCTTTTATTTGTACATATTGTTCACAGGAAGGGGAGTACACTTCACCTCCATCCTACCTCTGTCAGCAAGACTTCATTTATGTAAATGCAAAGCTTCTTACATAAATTTCAAAATAACCTGTGCATACAGGGCACAGCTGTTTATTAAACACGTTCATTCGTATTTAACTGATGAAAATGTATATTTAGAAGCGACTCAGCATTGTAAAAAATATACCTGAAAACAGAGCAGCATGGACATAAATGCCATGTAACTTTTAGATTTAGAAATGGCCCCAGGTCATGTTCAGGAACAGATAGCACAGTGAGCTGGAGTCTGCTGGAGCTGTGGGTAAAGCTGGGGGAGCAGAGAACAGGGACACAGGGTGGACAGCATTTTGAGCATGGTCAGCCAACAATCCTCTGTGATGGAGGCTGCCTGGGAGGGAAGGGAAATGAGAGAGGGGAGGTTAGTTGGGTGGGCAGGGAGTTTGAGGACCGGGTCGAAGGCATTGAAGGGTGCAAGAGGGATGGAAAGGGTAGGGGAATGGAGGGGTTGTGGAATGGGGGTGTGGGTCGGAGGAAGAGGGGCAGGGACAGGATGGGACGGGGAAGGGAGAACAGGAGGAAGACAGTGGACAGAGATGGATGGGGAAATGGGGGCAGGGATGGGAAGGGGGGGGCAGGGATGACAAGAGGGGCGGGACAAGAAGTGCGGCCGGCAGGACGGAGGAAAGGGTCAGGGTAGTGAAAATAGGGAATGGGTAAGGGGGGCAGGGGGAAGGGGTGAAAGGGTGAATGGGGGACGCGGTGGAGTGGGGACGGGGGGGGGAAGGGGGAGAGGGGGATGGGGAAGGGAGACAGGGGGGGGGGGGATGGTGAAGGGAGACACAAGGGAGGCAGGCAGGGCTGGGGCTAGAGGGGGACACATGAGTGGAGAGAGTGAAGGTGGATTGGTGAGGGTCAAGGAGTGAAGGGGTGTAGGAAGGAGGGGTAGAGGGAGTGGGTTGAATAAGTGGGGTTGAAGTACTGGGTGGTTTGGAGGGAGGACTGAAAACCCTTCTTTCCCTGTCCTCGGCTCCTACGCTTGGCGACCGGTGAAAGTGGGGGGAGAAGTTGAGTGGTCTGTGTGTGCACTTCTCCAACCACACTCACTCTCTCTGCACTGAGAGGAAGGAACAACAACTCGTCCAGACTGGGTTAAGTTTGATTCCTTTGCGGACGGCAGAATGAAAGAATAAAAGCAGCAGGCTCTGGAGAAGTACCGGTCCATGTGGAAATACACGGTCCATGTGGTTGTCAGAGAAACAAAGAATCCGCCCGCGGCCGCGCACCTTGACAAATGGGAAATGTGAGCTTCTAGTGAAAGGAGCGGATTCTCTCCTTCTCCCTCCCCTTCCCCTTCACTCCATCGACGTCCCCACTCCAGTTTACCTTCTGGCTGGAATGGTGGGGGGGGTGGTTTCAGACTCCATTTCTAACCCTTAATTTTCCGTTTGGGAACATCGAAAAAATTTGCTAACCAGTGTGTTCAGAATGTAAAGGAAGGGCAACGTGGATAGAACATGGAAATAACCTGACCCGCGGGGAAGTCAATGTGGAACTGGCGAATTTGAAGATCCGTCTCCCACCCAAAAAAAATGCAGCTGAGGTCCGGCTGGAGTTTCCTGTGTAGGTCCCTCCACCACAAGAATAAAGAGAGAAGAAACAGCATTTGGAATATGTTCCAGCCGCCACTCGGGTATGTCCTGAAAATACCCGAGCAATCTCGGAAAGAGTTCAAATCCCTTCTCCATGATATATTTTTAACCTCGACGCTGCTCTATAAACATAACTTCACACACGGGAGGGAGGGTGGGGAGAATATCCCACAAAAGGGTGACTAAGATTATCTCCCAGATACTTGGTGCACCAACACTTTTGTTTATGCTTCACCTTTTTTTTTCCCAAATGCAGAAACTGCAACGAAATATACCAGTTTGTTGCTTCTTTCTTTGTAAAATAAAGATAAACGTGAAATAAAGCAGAAATATTGCTCTTCCTGCCTGTGGAGACGTTCATTCAACAGATCAGGAATATCCAACTCCGAACACAATCACAGCAAACGCGAAAGAGCAAACAGGACGGAACAAGAAGCTGGTGCTGGGCTTCTGAATGAGAACGGAGAAAGGGTTATTTTTGAAGGGAAGGGCTTTTACCTCGGCATTGTCGAGCTCGGTCGGGAGTTAGCGGCAGCAGCCGCCGCTCTCGTTTCTCTCTCCTCCAGCATTAATCCAGGGCTGCGGGCTTCGGGCCCCCCCACCCCACCATTTATCCAGCATCCAGAACGGCTCGCAGCTCCCTCTCTCTCTCTGTCCTCGGCAACACCGGGCGGGAAGGAAAACGGCGAAAGAATCCTCCCCACCCCCAAAACAAAATAATCTGTTCTCAGGGTGTGTGACAGCTTTCAGAGAAAGCAGTGAGCGTGTCTCGGAATCCCCCTCCTCTCTCTCTTTCCCCCCCTCTGTCCACTTCTCTCAGCGCTATGCTGTGCGGATCCCAGACATGCCTGTTGGATATACCTGCACAGAGATTTTTTAAAAAAAACAATCGGGCGGCTTTTTCTGTCCAGGATCTCCTCACTCACTCATTCTCTCTTGAAATCTCCGAGATACTCTGGAGGGAGGAGGAGGAGGAGGAGGAGAGATCAGTCCGCTGACGTCAGGCACATCAGGATACACCAGAGCTTCTCAGTCTCTCTCTGTCTCCAGCCTTCTGCACACACACATACACACAACTCCAAAACCAAGGTAACTCCGACCGCTAATCTAAATGCCCCAACACAGCTCGAACAGCATGTCAATGCCAAGCCAGAGTATACATCCCCGTCGCTTCTACGCAACATACAAATTCAAAGTGAGCTGCAGGCTTTGTTTTTCTTTTGCAAATTCCATAACAACAGCCTCCCTCAGTCCCGGGCTTCTGACCTACACAGAAATACAATGAACCTGAAATAGAAGTTTTACCTCTCTACCACACGGCTCCGTCTCGATACAGTTCAGAGCGAACTACGGTATTACAAATTAAAGAAGGGAATGGCAAAACTACAACCTGAAAGATGTAGGTTCTGATCAGCCAAGCTTGTCTTGAAATAGCGTCTTCCACAGGAGCATTATTGGACATAAACTTTGTCGAAAAGAGACGTGTTGCCAAAGCTTTTCGTTTTACACTCGTTAGGACCAATGCAAGAATGTCAATTTTCAAATGCTTACGACAATTTACATGGCACCTTTAACCATTTAAATAGCTCAAATCACTTCAGAGGAGCACTGTCAAAACAAACGTGTCACTGGGTCTTATCATGTAGGGTCCAATGGCCTCTCTGGACTCGGAACGTTAAGTCTGATTTCTCTGCACAGATGCTGCCAGACTGGCTGAGTTCTTCCAGCAATTTCTGTTTTTATTTCAGATTTCCAGCATATCCAATTATTTGTTTATTAAGAGAAACAACTTAGTCAAACAGATGGGTTTTATGATCACATGAAAGAATGGTCAGAATTACAGCGACAGGGGCTTTACGGAGCAAGTTACCTTAAGTTCTGGGCACTGCTAAAATTGGAAATGGGTCAAAGACCAAAATTGGAGTGGGGGGTGCATGGGAAGAGATGCCAGAGAGTTATACACCGTAATAAAGTTACATATCTAAGAAGGAATAGGGTAATGGGAAGATTGGGAAAGAAGGATAAAAATTTTTAAATTGTTGCATTGCCAGAGTCAAGCCAATGAAGATCAGCAAGGCATGAGCTGATGGGTGAACAGAACATAATGCAGACAGAAATGCAAGGGAATGCAGTAGGAAACAAGTTTTAGAATAAGCTCAAGCGCACAGAGGGTGAAATGTAGAAGCCGAGCCAGGATAGCACAGTAATAGTCAAGCCTAGAGGCTTCAAAGGGAGAGATGAAAGTTTCAATTGCACACAGGCTGAGGCACATTCAGAGAAGGGCAATGTTGCAGAGATGATGTTAAATAATTTAATGATGGAGCAGACTCCATCAAGGTTGAGAGTAATCGAGATAAGTACAAATCATGACAAGAGTGAGGAATGGAGTCTGGAAGGAATGATGTTTGCAGTGGGAACTGAAGAAAATGGTTTCAATCGTCCCAAAATTTAACTTACTTCCATAGGATATACGGTACAGAAACAGACCATTTGGCTCAAGCAGTTCAGCAAATAGTGTATGTCATGCATGCTCAAATACAATTTGCTAACGTTGTTCTCTGTACACTAAGAATATCTCCTCGAAAAAAGGGCAAAAAAAATACCAAAGGTATATAGGTGCATGGCAGCCCTGATTGTTTGAAGCTATTTTGACCCTTACTGTTGACAGTGAGGAGGCTTTGGTATCTCTCACCTACTGACTTTCCTTTGTAGGAGGAAAAATTATCAAAAATCAAATAAAAACTGTCAAAACAACTGCTCATGCCCAATAAACTTGATTTTAAGAAGAACATTCAGAAATACAGTTTTCCTCCAGTAATTTCCCCAAAGTGCTAGAGTAATTGCAGACTATTAGGTGATGGTAAAGTCATTTCACAATAGATTGAAATGGATGGATAAGTGGATCAGTAAGAGTATAAGAGATAGTAGGAACTGCAGATGCTGGA